ACACACACACACACAGACACACACACACACACACACACTCACCCCGGCCCACATATCAATAACAGCAGCGGACGTTCACTAACATTCTCGCGTGTCATTCATTAAACTCAATTTCCTCGTCCCATTTTACGAGCAGGCGGTATATATTTAGATTTGGAAGAAATCAACCATCCCGCGCGACGAGACGCAGGGATAAAAGCGGGCTTCATCGATCCCTCAATCTTCCCGACGTCGTCGTGCGCATTGTCGTGGGAGGGGGAGGGAGGAGGGGGAGGGCGAGATGTAGATGCCGAGGCGGGCGCACTGAGAGAAGCGTCTACCGCCAGCGCAGACGCGTGTCATCGTTCATTAAAATCATTGTCCGCGCCCTAATCGACATTTACGCTACTCGAATTATACGGCGCTCCCTACACATAAGCAGCCCGCCGAGAATACTAGCTCCTCATCATCTGCGGCCGCGGCGCGTGCACGTCACCTCGCGGACTGACGCGCGGCTGACAGAAATATATACATGTATAGCGAAATGTTTCTTTAGCGTGAGCGTTTCCTTTGCGTTTTGTCGTTGCATGATGACGCTGTTTCGGTTGCTGTTTGTTCGTCTTGCCCAACGATTTTACGCTCCCGCCCGCGTGCGACGCGCGCAGAGACTAAACGGGAAAAAAACTCGGACTGCTGCCTACGCGAAGGACGCAAACGAACGGCTCCAAGGTGACGGGGCAGATGCTAGATGCACAACACGAGGGGAAGGAGTGGCAGACGGATCAGGGGAAGAATATAGAGGAGGCGGAAGAGGAGGATGAGCAGGAGGAGGAGAAGGAGTAGGAGGAGGCGGAGGAGGACGAGGCGGAGGCGGAGGAGAAGGAGCAGGAGGAAGAGGAGGAGGTGAAGGAGAAGGAGAAGGAAGATGAGAATGAACAGAAGGGACAGAGTGGGCAGGAGGGGAGTGGAGTGAGATGAAGAGTAGGACGACAAGGAGAATAAAAGAGATAATGAGAAATGGGATGACAGGTTAGGAGGCCCAGTCTTATGAGTGAGTCTGGAATAGTATAAATTAATGAATAATAATAGTAGGCCTACCATTATTACTAATAATATAGTACCGACAACAAGTATATAACAATAGTAATAATCTGAACATATTAACCTCCAAAGGATGCCAAGGGAAATGTTCGCTAAGTACTCGTGAATTAGATGTTTGTGATTAGATGAGCGTGTCATGCAATAATAAACACCATTATCCCTGAACAATGTCGGCGTGACGTCACGCGCGGCGATCAATCACTCAGACGAAACATTCGTACATTTCGCAGTGTTTGCATTCTATAAGGGTCAGTTCTCGCGAGGCGCGCCGACCTGGAACTCTCCCGGCCGGGAAAGATGCTGCCGCTGCCGCTTTTCCCCTTTCCTCCCCCGCGCGCTCGCTTGCCAAACTGATTTCATCGGTCGCGCTGTCGCCACGTAGTTGATCGGCTGAGCGTCTGGGATTACCATCTGGTGTGACGTCGACAGCGAGAAACGAGCGCGATATTAGCCGCTGAATGGATGTGCCAGTTCGTGTTTGCCCGCAGCTGAGTAAATGACCGTCGGCATGCCTGCTGTGCACGCGGCGCCTTCTCTCGTTCTCGTGTCGCGAGGTGGAGGATGAGGAGGAGAGGAGGAGGAGGAGGAGGAGGAGGAGGAGGAGGAAGAGGAGGAGGAGGCGAAAAAGAAGGCGGAAGAGGAGGATAACGAGGATATCTTTCACCACCTCTCTTTTTTCCTCACCCTTCTTTCACTCTCTCTCCCCTTCTCTCCCGCTCCCTCTTTGACCCCCCTCTCTCTTCCTACCCCCTCTCTCACATTGCGCGAAGCCATGTCTGCCCGTCTCTCCCAATCTCTATTTTATTTTATTTGCGCACGCACGCTTGTACGCACGCGTGTATTCGCGCTTGTACGCTAGCGTGTACGCACGCGTGTATTCGCGCTTGTACGCTAGCGTGCACGCACGCGTGTACGCGCGCGCGCGTGTGTAGCAGCACGACGCGACGTTTCGCGCCCAGCGGCCGCTTACGCATTATAACATTATAGTAGTGATTCATATTCGGACGATGCGCGCCGCACTTTTTCACGACGAACACTTATATGCTCTAATAAGCGTTTATGTTGCAGCGCGTCGCCGCATCCGCCTAGCGAAATCTGACAAATCTAGCGGCACCGACACACGATCGCTTCCGCAGTAAATCATATAGTAGCTACGTGCATGGGCACACGCGGACCAACGCTCCTCCATCACGGTCACCAGAGGGCAGCAGTGGCGATCCGTGCAAGGGATAGTGCCAAGAGTCCATAATATAACATTTTCTATTATGGGCGCTTGATAACGTGTAACGTTAGTAGCAGATAGCGGGGGTCGAGGCGTACGCGCATGGTGCATGCCTATATGCTACGCGTGCCTACATTAACGACGTCGATGTGACGTCACAATCACGCATAACAGTGTCGCCGCCACGTGCGATCTTTCTAGTTAGGCGTGAAAAATGATCGTCTGCTCAGGTAAATTTACGATGTACAGGTTAATTCATAATCGCACGTATAGGTTAATTTATGATCGCATGTACAGGTAAATTCATGATCGCATGTACAGATAAATTCGTGATCACGTACAGGTAAATTCATGATCGCCTGTATAGGTAAATTCGTGATCGCACGTACAGGTAAATTCAAGATGGCATGTACAGATAAATTCGTGATCACGTACAGGTAAATTCATGATCGCATGTATAGGTAAATTCGTGATCGCACGTACAGGTAAATTCAAGATGGCATGTACAGATAAATTCGT